AAAATACTTTTCAGTATTTGGTTATACCCTGAAAAGTAAAGTAGAAAATAAATTATTAATATTTTAGTCTTTTTCAAATTTATTAAAAGAATTAGGACCAAAATTGATAAATAAAAAAGTTGGAGTATGAAATTGAAAAACAAATCATAAATTATTTCAAATAAACAAATGGAAATAAAAAGAATGAGGACTAAATGTGAAAAAAAAACAAAATTCAACTATGAAAATAATAAGAGAAAAACAAATAACAATCAAAAGAATGGGGACTAAATTGATATAAAAATCAAATTAAAAAAGAAAAATAAAAAAATAAAAAAGAATTCAAAACTCAATATATAGAAATCAAAAGATTTAGGAAAAAAATTAATATAATCAATAAGTAACAAGATTTTTTTTGTTTTGCAACTTCTAGAAAGTATATTCTACCAAAAGATAAAAGAAAAATACTTTCTTGAAAATCAAATAATCTAGTCTATACTAACGCTATGTTTGTTTGCTGAAAAATAGTATTCCCCTGGAAAGTGGATTTCATGGAAAGTAAATTCTTGAACAGTAGATAATTTTCTGATGTTTTGCAGTGTTATGAAAAATAATTTGAAAAACACTTTTTACTGTTTTATTATGCCATGAAAAGTAAGGTGGAAAATAACTTATTAATTTTTTATTAAATTTATTAAAAAAATTATGATCAAAATTGATAGATGAAAACATTGGAGTATGAAATTGAAAAAACAAATCATAAATTATTTCAAATCAACAAATATATATATAAAAAATGGTCTCCAAATTTGAAAGAAAAAAAATCAATTATGAAAATTATAAGAGAAAAACAAATAACAATCAAAAGAATGAGGACCAAAATTAATGTGAAAATCAAATTATAAAGGACAAAATGGAAAATAAAAATAAATAATAAAAAGAGATCAAAAAATAAATAAAAATGAAAAGATTGAGAGACCAAATTTGATATAATCAATAAATAACAAGATTTATTTTTATCACTTTTGGAAAGTATATTCCACTCAAAATAAAATAAAAGCACTTTTCTTAAAACCAAATAATCTAGTCTACATTAAGGCTCAGTTTGTTTTCCGGAAAATAGTTTCTTTTAGAAAATGGTTTCTACGAAAAATAGATTCCTAAAAAGTAGATTATTTTTTGATATTTGATAGTATCATAAAAAATAAGTTGAAAAATATTTTTCTGTATTTGTTTATACTATGAAAAATAAGGTAAAAAATAACTTTTAATTTTTTTCAAATTTATTAAAAGAATTGGGACAAAATTGATATATGAAAAAAAGTTAGAGTACAAAATTAAAAAATAAATTCATAAATTATTTTAAATAAACAAATAGCAAGAAAAAGAATGAGACCAAGTCTCATAGTTAAAAAAAAATTTAATTACAGAAATGATAAGAGAAAAAAATAAAAATCAAATTAACGAGGACCAAAGTCGATATAAAAACCAAATTATAGGACATAAAATTAAAAAAATTAAATAAAAAATATAAACAAATATAGCAATGAAAATATTAGGGACTAAATTTAATATAATCAATGACACGACTAAAAGATTGATGTCTTCTCCCAAGTGCAGGAGTGTCGAAGTAATAAATAACCTGGCAAGACCGTGGTCGAACCACAAGGAGGCTAATTGTATAAATTATAAATAGCAATAATACAACAATAATAATAATAATAGTAGTAGTAGTAGTAGTAATAGTAGTAGTACTAGTAGTAATAATAATACTAATAGTAATAGTAATAATAATAATAATAATAATAATAATAATACTAATAAAAAGAAGAAGGAGAAGAAGAAGAAGATGATGAGAACTTTGAAATAGAATATTAATGTAACGATTAAACAATGATAATAATAAATGTCAAGGTTAGAGGTTCCACTAATGGTATGTCAAACAAGTATAGTATAAACTCTTATTATTCAATTGGAAACCACACACAAAGGAGGTTCAAATCTGATTATAGATTGTTAACATGATTATATTAGTCATCTTATTCGATTAATGCTAATACTTGTAAATCTTGTCAAGCATTCATGATTATAACTTATGTTAATAACAAATCAAGTTCCTTTCATAGCTCAGGTGTCGGTTATACCATACAGTATGACCTATGAAAGTGCCAAGCATTTGTTGTACCAAGTGTTATACAACATAAATCAAGATTAATCATTTAACAAGCAAAGTATTAAAGAATGAACAAAATAACAAATACAAAACATGTTAGTATCAAACATTAAAGTCCATATTGAGTTTACACTATACTTATTTTTACACCATTAGTGTAACCTTTTCACCTTATATTATTAGATATATTATTATAAAATATGCTTTAGTTAAGGAGTTATTGATACTTCAAGTGCAAAATGATGATATAAAACCATGATAAAAATGCACTTTTAAGTACTAATCAATCAAAAAATAACAAGATTATTTTTAATTTTTTTCAAAAGTATATTCCATCCAAAATAAAAAAAATATTTTCCTAAAAATCAAACTAAATTTTTCATTGATTATAAAATATTTTTTATTGACTAATTTTTATAACAATAAACAAAAAACAAAACATATTAGAAAATAATTTTCAAAAAATTACTTTTTTGCAAATCACTTTTAATGAAATAAATAGTAATTAAAATTTTATGAAATAATAATTTCATGAGAAAGTCTCAAGAATATAGGTTACATAGTGATGAGAAAGAGATTTGTTACCATCACATATGAAGGTTTATCTTTATCGGCAAGAGAACATGCTTTCATGTCATCATCTATAGTATTATTGGAAAAATAATTGTATTATGAATATAATTGATTCGAGTATTAATGATTTAATGAAGGATTTTATCTTGATGTATGGACAATGTACCCATGATACCCTTACTTCTTTTTTTTTTGTTTTTGAGATTGTTGATAGCCATTCATAATAATAATAATAATAATAATAATTAGGTACAAATCTCAGTTCGTTAAGCATTTAGCAAAGACAACCCAAATCTTGTTTTTAAACAAAAACAAAGACAGCCCAAATCTTTCAAAGATTAGGCACGAAGCCTTTCTTCCTTCCTTCATCAAGAAAAGAGAGAAGATTGGGAAATATTTGGGATGTAATTGATTTTTAAAATAATTTTAATATTGAAATGTATTAAAATAATATATTTTAATTTTTAAAAATTATTTTTGAAATAATATATTAAAATAATTCAAAATATTAAAAAATAATTAATTTTTAACAAAATAATTTTTAAAATATTTTGAAAACACGGGTTACCGTGCATTTCTAAACACTCTACTTTTTTTATTATACTCTCTAGAACATAGCCAAAAATTTAAATTAAAAGCAGTCAAATTAGAAACATTATTATGAAGAGAGCCAAAATCTCATTTTGAGAGTCAAAATCTTTTTTTTTTTCAATTTTTGGGGCTAAACCTATAAATATTATTAAGGGAGCTCAAGAAAAATATTTTCTTTTAAGGGTTGCCCCTAGCCATTCCTTCCTTTACTACCATTACTACACATGAGGTTTTTTTTTTTATTGATCATTTTCTATATATTTCTCCTTATTCAATCTGAAAATAAAAAGAAATGAATTTAAAAATGATTAAAATTTTTAATTACCAAATATATGAGAATTTTGTATCAATATCAAATTGATCATCGGGTAGTGTTTAATTACTATTATATGATAGAAGAGATGAAGACAATAAAGACAAAGAAGATAATATATAAAAGAAAATAAAAATAAAATAAAATTATATTTTGTACTGAAGTAAAAGATCAAGTGATTGTCTTTATATCCTGCATAGTTATAATGGGCAAAAACATATATATATGAAAATGTATGTTTTACTCTTAATATATGTTGTTGTCAAACTTATATATTTTAAAAAATAATTTGATATTTTTTTATTAAATATTAAAATTAATAATATTTCAATAACCCTAGTTATAAAATCAGGACTGACTTGATAGTTTGACCCGAGACTTAGATTGGTTCAAGTTTAAGAAAAAATAAAAGAAGGATTGATTTGACCAAGTTCAGTAAAAAATCCAAGCCAACATGAGAAAAATCACGGGTCAACTAGACCTATGACCTGATTTTTGCTCCGGATCGACCCCCCAAGTTGAGTTTTAAAATTATGATAATAATAATTTTTATTATTACTTGTTTTAGATAGACAATTTAAAAATTGAGATTTTTTTACAACGATATTTTAGGAATAAAAAATATTATCTTTGCAAATATGTCTTTTATATACCTTCTATTTTAAAAATACATAAATTCACTCCAAAATTATTATAAAAACAAATTTATTTTTATATTTTTATCTATGTTTAGTTAACCAAATACATTTCTGTTTTTATTATGTTGATTCCTTCTATTATCTCTTGAGATCACAGTTTTGAAATCCAGCCCCGCAGGTTAACCCGGGATCCGGCCGATCATGGGCTGGAACCAAGCCAGGTTGAAGAAAAAACTAGGAAAGGAAAAACTAGACCTGGTGACCTAGCAATACCTGGTTAAAAACTCAGTTGTAATCCATTGATTTTTTTTTTTACTAAAACGATATCGTTTTGATTTTTAAAAAAAGTTGACCCGAACGACCCGATGATCCGATCAAAATCTGGAATCCGAGCCTTAGATTAGGTTGGGTCTAAAAACTATATTTGAGATATGTCTTATATGTACCTCATGTTTTGAAAGTTAATAAATTTATTCAAAAATTATATTAAAAATAAATTTATTTTTATCTTTATTTATTTAACTAGATATATTTTTATTTTCGTTATGTTGATAGCTTCTATTACATAACAATAATATTCCACCACCACCGTGCTAACCCCCCAGCACTCAATTTAACGGTAAAAAAACCCAAAACAAAATTCAAATTAATAATACAACGACAGCCAAAAAACTAGCCGTTACAAAGAGCGTCAAAAGCCTTAACGTTTCTTCCTCTCTTCAACGTCATCTATGCCCTCATTCTTTGCTCTCTCACATTGAAAAGTTCAAAGAAACAAACCCATCTCTCTCTTTCTCTCTCTCACAATCTAATACCCTAACAACTAAGAAACCCTTTATTGATTTTGGTATTTTGAAGTGATTCTTCATGGAATTGAATACCAAGAATCCAAAATCGGCCACTCCTGTAAAAGACCGTCGTGGGTTTCAATCAAAATTATCCGAGAATTCGAATCCAAACCTTTCCCATTTAAGCCTTTGTTCAAAACACACAAATTCTCCTTCAACCAAATCCCAAAAATCTGCCTCCAAGAACCCGATTTTGAATCCCAATGCCGCCATTTATTCACCCAGAAAAAAGATTAGGGAGAGAAGGTTTGTAGTGGCAAAAAAGAAATCGAAGAAGGAGACTTTGAATTCAAATTCAACAACTGTGGATTGTAAGTGCAAAGAGAGATATGGGGGCAGTGTAAAGAAGTGTTTGTGTTTGGCCTATGAGACATTAAGGGCTTCACAGGAGGAGTTCTTCAAGAACAAGAATGAAGTTGAAGAGAAAGGTGAAACACATAAAGAAAAGGCCTTTGATTATAAAGTTGCGAGAGAAGTTTCAGAGGAGGAGATAGAAGACCATTTAATGGATCAAAATCTTGATATTGAGGATAGGAAAGGATCAGATGCTCAATATTCCAGCGAAATTGAGAAATCGGGACAAATGGGTAGTTCTAAAATCAAGAGGAGGAGAAATAAATTACTTGAAGAAGCAAGACAAAGTGCACCTGACAATGGGAAGGTGAAGCATTTGGTTGAAGCCTTCGAGAAGCTTTTTACCCTACCAAATCCGAAAGAATCAGAGAAGACTGAAGAGGAGGAGATGAAGGAGAATAGAAAGAAGGCAATGCAATGGGCTTTGCCTGGATTGCAGCTTCCTAAAGTGTTGCCTGATACTGAGTTCTCTTCTTCATTTTCATTGCCAGAATTTCAGCATGCTGAGGTATCTGAGACAAACGTCTCTTCTTCTTCTTCATTCTGTCCATCTGGTTTCTTTTTGACTTCTGAGAATCTCGGTCTGGATACAAGGATTTCTATTTCCTCTTCATGGGATGGCAGTCAAGGCAGGTTAGTGATGATCGCTGAATCGATTTTATTGACCCCCACATTTGATAAATTGTTTCGTTTTTAGTTTATGTTCTAATTAGGTCTTGACTTTCTATATTTTGAAATGCCAGTAATTCTAGCAGGTCATCTAATGGAGGGGGGAGAAGCCGAAGAAATGTGAGATTTTCTTTGCCTCCTTTTAGTTTCTTGTTTGATCTATGTATGCGTATGATGTTTCAGCTGATGATTTCTGTGACCTTTTTAGAGTGCCGAGTCAGGTGCAACAACCGGGGGGAGGAGATTGAAGAAGAAGCAAATTAAAATCACAAGCCAAAAGCCATTTAAGCTTAGGACAGAAGTGCGTAACTTTTTTCTTTGCATCATGAGAGCCGATCATGGAGTGTTGACATTGTTTTGTAATGAATTACATTCTAAATTTTGTTGATTGGTTCTCATTATAGCAAAGGGGAAGACTGAAGGAAGAGGAATTCACAAAGAAGATACAAGAAATAATGACGGAAGAGGAGAAGCTGCGGATTCCTATCGCACAAGGCCTTCCTTGGACAACAGATGAAGCAGAGGTGAGTCCTTTTTTGGCAATGATTACTGCAAGATGCTTTATAAACTTGAAGACCAGTTCCGTGTGCTTTAGTCAATAGCGTGTTCTACACCTGTGATTTGAAAAAAATATATAAATAGCGTATAGAACTGAGATTAGTTGACATGTTTGTGGTCATAAGGATTATGCAATTAAGGATTAGACAAATATTTGTGTTCACAAGTTCAACGATATTCGGTTGTTCTGTCTAAATTTACATGCCTGTTTAGGAATTGAGACTTTAATCTTACATTTGTGATCATTTATTACTCACAGTGGCGTTTTCTGCAGTGCCTAATCAAACCTCCGGTGAAAGAAAACACCAGGCCCATTGACCTGAAGCTCCATAGTGATATTCGAGCTGTGGAGCGTGCTGACTTTGACCATCAGGTAATTTTCTTACTATTCTAGTAATTAGCAGCATACGAGGTTAGTGCTGATTTTAAATGTCCTCTGCTCAATTTATTCTCCTCTCATGGTTGAAAAGTGTTTATGCTTCAATGTGCGAGTAATCATGCCATTTAATGCTACCTGCTGATTCTAGCTAAATTAAACTATTATAGCACCAAGCCTTATTTGGAAGTAGCTTCATCATTTTTCTGTATTAAAATGCAATCAGGTATCTGAGAAGATGAGCTTGATTGAGCAATACAAGATGGAAAGAGAGAGGCAACAAAAGGTATATATAGAAAGAGAAGGCATGATTTTGAGGTTATGTTGTTTCATTTTTATTAAAATCTTCACATTCACTGTTGGCTCTTGTAGTTGGCAGAAGAGGAAGAGGTACGCAGATTGAGAAAGGAGCTCGTTCCAAAAGCGCAGCCTATGCCCTATTTCGACCGGCCATTCATTCCCAGAAGGTAAGGTTTACCATCCACTTTATTTATGCACATGCACGCTCTTGCAAGGCACTTCATTTCCCAATGAAGCTCGTTTAAAGTTTTAGGAGCTAGGATGGCCATTGCCTCAACTGCCTTCCCAGCCCTTTGTCATTTCTCCTGTATTGTATGCAATACTTTCAATATCGATGCCACAGACTTGAATTTGTTATTTCTCTAAAGGATTTGAATGGTTTATAGGAAATACATCTTGTTTGTGGCCTTTTAAAGCGTTCTGCTAATAATTCTTGAAACCATCGCGCATTCACAGAGTTTGGCACTTCTATTCAATTTCTTGCTTGTATATTTTACTTTAAGATCTATATTTGGCATTTTGCTCTGGATCGTAAGCTTAGATTGTACGGCTTGCACTATACCTCCTCTGCTCCTTTGCTTGATTTGTAGATTGTGGTGCTTAATAGTGTTGTTGCAAAATGGTAAAGGCTGCTTTTCTGCGTCTTCTTTGTTCTGTTTGTGTCAGCCAGTCCTAGGAACACATAAAGTATATATCATTGTTACGTGGATACCTACCCCTTTCGAGACATTTTCCAGTGCAGCTTACCGAATTGTTGTGATTTCAAGTCAATAATGACGTATTTTCTGTCATTTTTGGATTTGTTAAGGTCAATGAAGCATCCAACAATGCCGAACGAAGCAAAGCTCCGCAGACACAAGAAGATGAAGTCCTGTCAATCCTGGAACGATGTCAGCAGCTACAGTTATGATCAACAGAGCAACAAAGAAGATAGAATAGGTGGTGGTTAGGCATATTCAATTCATTCATTCATTCATTCATTCATTCCTTGTCAATTGGTATTTAATAAAATAATGTTGACCCTGGTTCTTTTTCTCCATTTTTCTTTCATCTCTTCCCAAATCTGTATAATATATAAGGCAACCAATTTTAGTTGCAGTTTTGAGAACTGTCTCTGCTTCTTGTGTGTGTACTTGTGAAAAAAATAAATAAATAAGACATGAAGTTCTCAATTCTTATTTGCCTTTTCCTTTAATACTTCCATTTCCCAATTTATTTTCATGTCTGCACCTTGATTCCGGAGATGGAAGGTCACCGGGACTAGGATAATCCCATTTTAATCTATATTTTGACCTAAAAGAATTCATCCTAGACAGCTTGTAAAACCCATTTATGATATTTAATAATTCAAAAATTAACTTTAAAATCTACAAACAACTTGAAATAAAATTATTTATGGAGTTCAGATTTATCATTTTAGGCAAGTTTAGGAGAGAACACTGGTAGTAAAGACAAACATTATCCCACCTCCATTATATGTAAATGGGAATACATAATCTCCCACTTGACATATAATGAAGGTTTAATTGGTGGCATAAATCATGACATGACTTATGCCTCTTGTCACCTCAGCTTTGTCTATAAATAGACACACTGAAGAGCTGATATGTAGAAAGAAAAACCGAGAGAAAGAGCAGTAGAAAGAGTTTGAATGTGTAGAGTTGAGATGAGAAGAGTTTTCTTCTCCTCTTTGTTTGTATTGTTTCTTTGAGTGATTAATACAAACCAGTAGCTCCGTGGAGTAGGCAAGTTGCCGAACCATGTAAATTTGTGTGCGTTTGATTGCTTAAATGACCCAACAACTGATATCAGAGCTTGTTCTTGAAAAAAAGGGTGTTTGATCCAAACTCAAAAATCAAAGTTCTCAAAATGTGTTTTTGAACATACCATCGTGTAGAGAAAGACGAGACAAATACACTGGTGAAAACCCGGGGAAGAATCGATGTCCTACATGCCCGCACGCGCCGACACACACTGATGACAACATTGCCCATGCGCACCGACACGCCACACGCGCTCCACGCGTCTTCTTCACGCAAATATCTGCAATTGAATCAGGTTGACCTAACACGTCAGCATACAATCAGTAGCCACAGTAGCAATTCTACACAGTCATCAGCCATGTCACTAGTACACGTCCGCACAGACATGCCGGATAAGAAATCCATGTGGATCTAACACGTCATAATATGTGGGTTTGTGTTGCTTATGTGTCTAACACGTCATCATAGCCACGTCAGCATACTGGGTTTTGATCCAGTGTGCTAGAGACATTATTCCTCCTGACACGTGACTTCATCTACAGCGTCCAATGATCCAAATGTTTGATTGATAAGATTTGAGTCATCATAACCCGGGGAAGAACCGATGTCCTGCATGCCCGTACACGCCGACACACACTGATGACAGCATTGCCCATGCGTACCGACACGCTACACGCGCTCCACAGGTCTTCTTCGCGCGAATATCTGCAACTGAATCAGGTTGACCTAACACGTCAGCATACAGTCAGCAGCCACAGTAGCAATTCTACATAGTTATCAGCCACGTCACCAGTACATGTCCACACAGACATGTCAGACAAGAAATCCACGTGGATCTAACACGTCATAATATGTGGGTTCGTGTTGCTTATGTGTCTAACACGTCATCATAGCCACGTCAGTATACTGGGTTTTGATCCAGTGCACCGGAGACATTATTCCTCTTGACACGTGGCTTCATCTACAGCGTCCAGTGATCCAAATGTTTGATTGATAAGATTTGAGCCATCCAAAATTTGATTTGGGTGATTTCAATGTCGTTTCCAACTTTTTTGGCCATTCTGAACACATTTGTAAGGTCATATTTGACAGATTCTGTTGCGATGTCGTGGTCGCACAAATTAATTACCCTAGCTTAAAACACAACACACAAGATAGTATAGAGCAAGCAAGGGGTCGATCCCATAAGGAAGATTTAGTTCAGATTTTTATGCTATACGTTATGCAATTGGAGGGTTTTGAATTGTGATGATCTAAACTATGGAAGAAATTAAACTAGCAAACAAAATCAATTGAAATCGAAATTTATCAAGAAAACAAACCTTGGTTGCAAGCACACATCCACCAACGGAAATTAGAACCGATCCTTGAAACAAAACTACAATTTATATTCTGAATTTTTATCTTTTCTTAATGTTGGTTAATTAACGGATCCGCTGTATAACTAACCCTAACCAACAAACAATCACAATGTCCGCATTAATGATTTAATTCAATGGCAGCCCTAAGAACTAGATATTTGAGTGTTCTCCCTAAGTTTAATAATGTAGTTCCGCCACAATTATCAAGCTTAGTTGCTTCACAAGTTCATACATCACAACTCCGGTTTTGATATCAAACTTAGCAATAAATTGTTCACAATAATAACTTAGAGTTTCGCTCTAGCAATTATCAACAACAATCATAGAAAATATGCATAGGAAAACAACCATACTTATTCATAATATAAACTGAAAATAAAAGGAAGAATAAATCTCACGGTTCTTGAAATCCGAAGATTTGTTGTGTCCTTGCAACCAAGAAAAGAGCTTAGCCTTGCATAACTATTGAACAACTACTCTTAAAAAATGAAGAGAGCATGATTTTTTGGGTTTGTAGAGGAGAGAATTTGTGTTTCTTAACTTCTAGCTGCTGCCCCCCTTCTCTCCTCTCTCTCTTTCTTTTTATATGCTAAGAAACCCTAGTTCCTAATTTACAAAATAGTCCTCCCTTAAGTTGACAATTGACATTTAAGTACTTCAATAACTATTTTCCCTAAAAAAGAGAAATAACCTTGCATGAAATCTTCAAACTCTGACTTAGAGGAGCTAAATTGCTGATATAAAAACTTGGATGACAGTTTAGAAGCTTCGAAACGTAATTTGGACTCATTTCTTCACAAAACTTGATTGCTGGCAGAATTAAGTTGTCATCTTTGAAAAATCATATCTCCCTCATCTGACATCTTTTTTGGATGAAATTTGGAGTGTTTACATACCTTTGAGTCCGAAATCCAAAAACATTAAGTTTGCATAAATTGGACTTCTATAGCTCCAGATATTGAATTTTGAATAGACAAAGGTCAACAGTGGCAGAATGCAAGATTTGACTTTGAAGGATGTGATTTCCATGATCTTCCTCTTTTTATTTTTCTTGCATTACATTTCCAGAAAGGTATGGATGTTAGCTTTTTAGTACCACTAGAATCATTTCATTTCGATCTCTAGAACTCACGCTCTGCACGAAACATCGACTGAATGTCAAGTCTGCCAATTATCTCTAATTTACTCCTTTTTGCATTTTTCATCCAAAAGTGCCTTCAAAACATAAAACAAAGAATATCAAGGCATTTTACATATAAAACATGGACAAAACATTAGGTAAATATGGGTGAAACTATCGAATAATATGGTTATATCAAATACCCCCACACTTAGCTCTTTCTCGTCCTCGAGAAAGGATAAATAAAATTAAATTGAAAATAACCATGATCAATCTCTTAATCTCCCATCAGTGTCCAAGAGTATAAGCATTATAAATAAGAATATAATAAAAAGGATAAAATAAATAAATTTTTATGAATTTGTTTACATGCAAACTTCAAAATTCAATCAATCCTTGGGATTTAAATGAAATCTATGCCATGCCAAAGTGATAGGTCCTCTCATTGATATACACTCCAACACTCATGTGTTTAGGGTTTATGTGTTTAAATCTCTCAAATTCAATCAAAGAATATGTTCTACCATAAGCTTGCTTTTCAATCTCATCTCTATTACTAACATATTACAAACAATGCATGAATCAAAAGGTCTTATTTTTCGGTTGTAATGGGGCTAAGGTTAAGGTGAGGTAAAAGAGAGTAAAAGAAAAGGTTCAAATCAAAGAAAGTAGAGCATTCCGAAAAATGATATTTCAAACAAGATATTCCATCAAAGCTCATAAATTTTTCATCTTTAATCACCAATGCTTAACTCCTTTTAATTTTAAGCTCTTTTGACATAAAATCTTAAGAACATAAAGGAACATTTTCTTCTTCTTCTTTTTTTTTTTTTGTAATTTTGCCCATCTTTTCATCAAGCATCACTTCTTCTGTCTTTTCACATAATTTCCAACCATAATTCCATGAAGTATCACAAGTACATGCTCTACTAATCCTTGGCCAGGGGAAAAGGAATATATATATAAAGTTAAGGCTTATACATGGATAAAGCAAAGAAAAGATAAACAAGCTCAAAAGGGGCTCACTAAGGATAATATGCTTTAGGTTGGCTTTTTGGTTCAAGTGCTTTAAAATTCCTATTGCCTTTATCATCTTCATGTATATTTGTAATGGAATATAATCTCAATAAGATATAAAGCAAGTTCTAGAGATACATATCATTGAAAGAATGCACACTCAAAGAATACAATGTTGAAGGCTCAAAAACTTGTAGTGGTATAACACTATAAAGTCAACATGGCATATTCTCAAAGTCAATCCCTAAACCAATTAAACCTTAAAATTTGCATCTATACTCTTTCATTTGATTTATATCTTCATCTATCTCAATTAATTCTCATACATAATACTCATATTCTCAAAAACCAATGGGAGTTAAAAAGATCAAACACAATTTTTTTTTTAAGAACAACAAAGAAAACTAAAATAAGAAAACAAAAATTCTCCTAATACCCCCACACTTAAAACACAACATTGTCCTCAATGTGGAAATAAAAGCAAAGGAACATAAGAGAATGACAGAAAATAAATTAAAATACAAAAAAATAAAAGATAAGGAAAAAGAAAGCAAATCTAATTTTTCTTTTTGTGTGATGGGTTGCCTCCCAGTAAGCGCTTTTGTTTTATGTCATTGGCTTGACATGTGGCATGCTCATTCTTCATAGATTGGTTCAGCTAACTCTACAGAAGCGGTGAGTTCTGTCATCCAACCTTCATAGAAAGGTTTCAAACGATGTCCATTGACCTTGAGTACTTTGCTGGTTTCTAAACTTGTAATTTCAACTGCACCATAAGGAAAAATATTAGAAACAACAAAGGGTCCAATCCAACGAGAGCGCAATTTTCCAAGAAAAAGTTTCAAACG